AGCTCTTACTATGCCTAATTTATAAATTGAACTTTATCATAGGTATTTTTGTATGTATAGGAAAAAAAATATAACAGAGAGTTCCGTACTGTCTGTGGTTTCGGGCATCCACTGGGGGTCTTGGAACGTAAAGGGCTTTTTCAAGGAAGAGAATTATGTCACTGATGTTGCTTGGAATCGCTGGCTCTTGGTGATACAAAGCAGATCGATTTTTAGTTGTTTTACTGTGTTTTCATTTGTAAAGCCAGGCTCCTCCCCTTCTCCCCCCTCCCCTGCACCTGGGTCGCCTGGATGCGCCCTGCCTGCCTTTGATTTGCTTCAGCTACAGGAAATCAGACTGCAACTGCCTGGGGCATTCCTGGGAGTGCACGAGGCTGTCCACAGGCTGTGTGCGTGAGAAGTACACGTACACCACCTTGGCTGCAGGTGACCGGCCGAACTCCAGTGAGCGGAACTGAAGGGCTGGTTACTCACTCCTGTCACTGAGGGCGGGTCTCTCATGGAGCTGCTGCTCCTTGGCCCGGGACCTCAGTGCTCAGGCCATATTCTCCACCAGGACTGTGCCTTATGAGCTGTCATCAGTTAGGCACAGCCCTGGGGCAGGGCAGGCCCGCCCGAAGGAGGTCTCTTGTCTGCTCCAACTTGGAAAGTGGCCAGGAGCTCTGAGTGGCAGGCGGGGTGGGGATGAAGGTGGGATAGAGCTTGGAAAGGCAGGAGACCCTTGACAAAGGAAAGGAAACGTTCAGATGGCCTCTGAGTTCCTGAGCCTGGAAACCCCTGTTTATTTCTTCACATCCCACCTGTTTCCTGAGACGGCCTTTCCCCCTCAGCCTCTCACCGTCCTTGATTTTTTCCCCTTTTAGCTTTCCCAAACTTCTTATCCACAGCGATTCCCTCCCTCACCCTCCAACCATCGTCTCCATTTAATTTAATCGCCTTCGCATTCGAGAAGTGGGCATTGATGAGGGCAGGGGCTCTGTCTTTCACTGTTGTGTCGCCAGCACCTGGCATGTAGCAGGTGCTCAGTATGTATCTGCAAGCTGGAGGGACAGCCTGCCCTTACCACCTTGGGACCTTGTGGTTGTCCTAGCCCAGTGATGGCGAACCTATGACACGCGTGTCAGAGGTGACAGGCGAACTCATTTTTTTGGCTGATTTTTCTTCGTTAAATGGCATTTAAATATATAAAATAAATATCAAAAATATCTTTGTTTTACTATGGTTGCAAATATCAAAAAATTTCTATATGTGACACGGCACCAGAGTTAAGTTAGGGTTTTTCAAAATGCTGGCACGCCGAGCTCAAAAGGTTCGCCATCACTGTCCTAGCCCCACCAAGCTCTGGCCATCAGGATCAAGTCCACAGTCTGACAAAGCAGGTATTAGCTGATAGCACCAGGAGCCCCGGGCAGCTCACCAGTAAAGGTAAGAGTTTTCATAGGATTTGTGGAACGGTGAGGTGACATGAAGCAGTGTTTGGGCTGCTCTGTGCAAAGCAGGGCCATATGTGAAGGGCCAGCATCAGGTCTGGGCTGCAAAGCGGGCCTGGCTCCTGTTCCCTTAGCAACCACCAAGCCAAGGCTCTGTGGGATGTTGCGCTCTGCACCCGGGCTGGAAATCCAGGCTCTCTCTTTTTTTTTTCCTTAAGTAATCCCAAACTCACAAAGCTTTGGCTAATTTTATTTATTTATTTTAAATGTTTTAATTGATTTTAGAGAGGAATGGAGAGGGAGATAGAGCACTGATGAGAGAGAAACATCAGTTGCCTGCCTCCTGCATGCCCCCTATTGGGGACTGAGCCCAAAGCCTGGGCCTGTGCCCCGCCTGGGAATCAACGGGTGACCTCTTGGTGCACAGGAGGGCGCTCAATCCACTGAGCCACCCCAGCCAAGCCCAGGCTCTTTTCTGGCAAAGTGATTTACATACTCTAGGAGGGAGCTGGGAGTTTCATTCTTCCTGGGAATTTCAAACAGTAAAGTTTCTGCTAATCTAGGATTTTAGAGTTCACAGTTCTCTTTGAGTAAAAGAGTCCTTCCTTAAAAAGGGGACTGTTTTACACTACAGCTTCAGCTGGGTGTCCTTGGGAAATACTGTCCCTGTGAACTGGCAGCCGGCTTTGTCGGTGTCGCCACTTCGGCCTGATGAATGGCCCCGGGGACGCTGTGGTGCTCTCTCAGTCTATGGGGCAGGGCAGATCTTTGTGGGTTCAGTGTAGGGATGAGCTGGAGGAGCAAAGATGCCAGGAAGGAGGCTGCTACTTCGATCTAGGTCTAGCCTGGACCTATATAGGGGAGTGGGTGGATGCAGGGCATATCTTGGAGGTAAAACAGATTTAGTCAGTAATGAAACATGGGGAGGGGGTGGGGAGGACACATCCAGGGTGGTCCCAGGTCTCCGACTTGGCCATGGAGGGAGGTAAACAGGAGGGAAGAGGCTGCGTTTGGGTCAGCTGGGCTGCATTTGATGTGCAGCCTTGTGGAGATGTCGGATAAGCACCTGGACGTGCCTGGGTGTGCAGGTTCGGGGGCCAGCACTGCGGAGAGGTGGGGATTGAAGTTATGAGGAAGGATGTTATCTCAGGAGGACGTGCAGGGTGAGAAGACGAGGTGGCCGGAGGGAGCAGCATGAGGAAGTCCAGTAGAGCAGGATCCGGGAAAGACTAAGTGAAAACCTACAGGGAGAGGGGAGGAAAGCCAGGAACTGAGCGACCTGGAAGCCCAGGAGAGAGCTTGAATAGGGAGGCAGGAATGACAACCGGGAACCACTGCATATTGGGGCTGAAAGTGCCGATACGTGACAGGGATTTAGTGACAGGGCCCCTGGGGCCAGGTTTCAGTGGTTTGGGGACTGAAGGGAAGGTGAAGAAATGGGGACAGCAGTCTTGAGACATGTTGGAGTGGAGGCAGGGTGGGTACTAGCTGGAGAAGGGCATGGGGCTCAAGGAAAGTGTAGTTAGCAAGACTGGAGAGACTTAAGCACGTTTAAATGCTACTGGGAAGGGCTAACAGGAAAGAACGCAGGCAGGACTTAGGTACCAGTGTTACCGGACGGGGGACCTGGCCCTGAGCGGGTAGTGTGTGTGTTCTTGACTTGGTGTTTGCAAAATTTCACAACGCGAGTCCGAGTGACTATGGGGGCACATTTATTAAAGCTGGGGACAATCAAACAAAGAAGAGCTCAGCGTAGAAGAAGCAACAACAGAGAGCCTAGGTGAGGCTGCTTTAGCGCACTAGGAAGTCAGAGAGAAGGGCCCTAGAGACAGGTTCATGGTTAGCCTAGGTGGCTGCCACTGCCCATTGCTGCTCTGGTTGCAAGTCTGTGGGGTCCCTTAGAGTTTAGGAGGTGCGTGTCTATGGGGAAAGAGGATGGGGATGGCACAGGTGTGCTCCCCAGAGGGAGCTCCCCCCACCCCCCCAAACTGAGTCCTTTGTCTTGAGGCTTTTATCTCTTTTGCAGGCGGGAATTTTAGGGGAGGTCTCATGGGAGGGTTTCAGCAGGTTATTCATCGTTTTCTAGGTGTGCCCCTCCAGGGCGGTGGTCTCCACTGATTGGTCAGTGTCAGGGCAGGGCGTCCTTAGCCACTGCGGCTGACCCTGGCTTCATCCACCTGGTTTTGCTGCTTTTCTGGGTCTGGAGCTGAACTACAACTGAGGCCCAGAGGTCATCTCTAGGGAGGTGACCTTCTGTATCTGCTGTAAATGGGTCTGCCCGTTTATTCAGCCATTTGTCTCAGTTTCCCTGTTCCACGTGTCCTGGCTCACTGGCCTGTCGTTCCTGGGGGAGGTAAGGGGTGGCCTGCAATGCCTGGCTCTGGTTAGGGGTTTGTACTCTCTTCAGGTGGGAGAGGGCTCCTGGCCCAGAACCAGTGGTGAGGCGAGAGGGGGATCAGTGGAGAGCGGCCTGGGTCTTAATCCAGGGGGCCTAGCAGTAGAGGGTCCCACAGCTGGGTTACCTGCCTCTCTTTTCTTTCACTATGTCTCCATTTTAGCCCACTCTTCTCCTCGGGTTATCTTCAACCCCATGCGCAGTCTGTTTCCCATCTACACGCTCATTTCCAGCCACACCCCCTTCCCAGCCACACCCCTGCTTTTCCCACAGCCCAGCTCCCGTTTTCTACTCCAGTCCAGACACCCGATCCCTCCCCAGGCTGGCTGCCCTGGACTCTCCCCTGAATTACCAGCTTCTGTTTTCCCCAGTTCCTATTCCAGCTGCACTAGCATTACTCCCTCCACTCCCACCTGCAACTTCCTGCCCGAAACCACTGCCCCTCCCACCTACATCCCGGCCCCGCCCAGTCTGTGGCCCCGCCCTTACCCGCCAAGGCCAGCCCATTCCCCATGATATGCATCGCCATTGGCTGACTCCCTCATAGGACTCCGCCCCCTCAGCCTCCACTTCTGCCATTGCGGCAGATAGACGCCCGTCAGTGCCGTCGCCTGGCAACAGGGCTGGCCGCTCCAGGGGGAAAATCCTTGAACAGCCCGACGGACCGGAAGGTGAGTCCAGTTTTCGGAGCTGGAGCTGCGAAGGTGAGTTTAGTTCCGCGATGATGGAGGGCAGAGGTGAGCGGAGGAAAGAGGCGCTGGCTCTGTGGCCTGGAGGCGGGGGCAGCGATCAGGGGCAATGACGCTGGTCCTGGGAGCGAAGCTACCCCGAGCCGCCCGGGCCCTGCACCTCCCTGCCACGGGCGCTAGGTGGGGGGAGGTTAGGGGCGATGGGGAACAGCTTTGAGGGATGGAGGGTCTCTCCTTGGGGTCAGAGCGCACAGTCACCCCGCACCTTCAGCCTTTCGTTTGCTGGAGAGAAAAGCGGCCCAGCCGGCGCCATCTCCAGGGCCGAGGCCACTGTCTGGAAGGGTGAGCAATGAAGCTGGTATGGACATGGGAGGGACAGGGGAACGGCTGTGGGAGGAGGAGTCAGGAGGTTGAGGTGGACTGTGGGGGGAGGGGGGTGGAGGAGAAGGGGGGCCTCCTTCTCGCATTCTGATCACAGCCTACTAGCTTTCCCCAGGTTAGCTGAGTCTGATCACTAGACTCAGGGCAGAGGGGAGAGGGAAAGAGAGCACCCTTTGCTGACATCTCTGCAGATGTGTCCGTGGGGCTCTCTGGGGGAGGAAGCCGGCCTCTGCAGGACAGTGCACCTTCCGGCCAGCGGGACTCTGCGGCCTGAAGGCTGGCTCGGGTCCAAGCCTTCTGCAGAAGAGCTGCTGGTTCTGGGCCATAAGCAGGCCTTGGAATGCTCCTGTCCCGACGAGGCGGTTGGATTCTTCCCAGAAAAGGAGGTACTTGAGGGTCAGGTCACCACTCTCAGAACTGTGGCCCCTTGAGGTCGGGGTTAGAGATTGACAAGCCAGGGTGGAGAGCATCCCCCAAAGAGCCAGTTGGAGAGGTTCTGAGGGGTTGACAGCTATCCTAGGACGCCGCCCATTCAGCAGACAAGGGCTCCCGCCCCCTCCCCTGCATTGAGGGAGTTTCTTCCAGGCTGTTTCTCTTGTTTCAAGGCAAGAACTCAGTGTTCCCTTGTGGGCTCATCTGTTTCTGTCTCTGGCTCCAGAAAGCAGAATTAATGCCCTATGTTACCTCACTTAACCCTTTCACCTCGTTACAGGGTTGGTGGCACTTCCTCCATTTTACTAAGGTTCGAAAAGGCATAGTACCTTGCCCTGGTCATACAACCAACAAGTGCTGAACTTGAACTCAGAGGTGCCCATCTTTGTTACACCATCACTCAGAGCCTGGGGCCCTGCGCTGGGGCAAGTGTTCTGGGTTCGATTCAGTGCAGTTCCGTGTGGACTCTCCCGCTCTGCCCCGTGGCCCCGTCCTTGGAAGCCAGGATTCCTCGCCCTCTGCCCTTCTGACATTTAGGGCCAGGGAATTTTTTGTGGGGTGGGCCTCCTGTGCACTGCAGGATATTTAGCAGCAGCACCCCTGGTTTCTACTCGCCAGATGCCAGCAGTGACTCCCTTCGCAGTTGTGACAACCAAAAACCAACTTGCCAAATGTCCCCTAGAGCAGCGGTCACCAACCGGTGGTCCGCGGACCACGGGTGCTCCGTGAGGTTCGAAAGGTTGGCGACCGCTGCCCTAGAGGACAGAACCACCCCCAGCTGAGAACTAATGGGTGCGCAATCTTGGCGTAACGTTGCGGTGCGTCCTCCTGAAAGAGAACTTGGTGTAGGGACCTACAGGAGACGCCGGCCAGCGGAGGGTGGCTGTATGCACAACTTGCCAGGAAAAAGCCGGTGCCGCATGGCGAGGTGCACCTGGGGCATTCCCATGCGAAAGCCATTGCTGGGACTGAAAGAAAGCCCAGGAACTTGCATTTGGGGAGAAGTAAGGACGCATAGAAGGCCTTCCTGTCCTTCCCAAAATTGGTTAGAGCAGCGGTTCTCAACCTGTGGGTCGCGACCCCTTTGGCGGTCGAACGACCCTTTCACAGGGGTCGCCTAAGACCATCCTGCATATCAGATATTTACATGACGATTCACAACAGTAGCAACATTACAGTTATGAAGTAGCAACGAAAATAATTTTACGGTTGGGTCACAACATGAGGAACTGTATTTAAAGGGCCAGAAGGTTGAGAACCACTGGGTTAGAGATTTCTGGCATGTTCACAGCGATCGAGGCTGGGATGGATGAACGGGGACACTTTGTACCATTATTTCCTCTGGCCTTGCGGGAGCTGTTTAAAAAGAGGCATTTTGAGATGTGTCCCTTCTCCAGTGCCCCACAGGCTAGGAATGGTGGGGCAGGGGGAGGGCATGTTGTTAGAAGCTGCCCCTCTTCCCATAGGCCTGAAGCTCCTATTTGAGGCTGCGACACACACACTCCTTCCTACTAGAAAAACTGGTGTTGCCTTGGCCTATCCTGTGTCTCCAACGGGCGCCGCCGCCGCCCTGTGCCCACCCACAAGCTGATGGCCAGCACCTCTCCTGGGCATTGCTCTGCCTTGGCTGCTCGCCCAGTCTTTCCTCTCTTGCAGTGTTTGGGCGCTGGGCAAGGCTGGCTGGGCACTGGGCAAGGCTGGCTGGGCACTGGGCAAGTGTTGATTTGTTTTCAGACAACAGTGGAGGGACTTATTTCCTGTGGGACAGAGGAGGAGGTGGGGTGGGCTGGAAGTGAGGTGCAGACAGAAGTCCCCTTGCTCTGTAGTCCCTTCAGGTACCTTCCCCACGCCAGGCCTCACCTCACCGATCTCGGGGTTCACCCCACACCCAGGTGAGCCTTCTGTGGGTGCCTGAAGACCCACCCAGCCAGAGCCTGTCTCGACTCCTGTGTTCTCACCCCGATCCCCACTGACCCTGCAGCGCTTGTCTGCCTCTCCCTGTTAAACAGGAGTTCCTGCAGGCCCAGGCCTGCCTGAGGCTTCTCTCCGACACCTGCTTTCTCTGACAGCCCAGCCCGGGGGAAGCTGAGCTGTTCATTGAAGGAATAGATGCATTTGCTGACGTCAGGAAGTGTCCTGCACAAGGCGGGACCTGTGGCCCCGTAGTGGCACAACCCCTGGGTACACTATCAGTTTCCGAGGAGCGGCCTTTAAAAGTTGGTGACCTTTTCGCCCCAGTCAGTAGGGCAGAGGGTGAGAAACCCCTTACCGAGGCTGGTGTCCCCGAGTAGAACAAATCCTTGGTTTTGAGCAGGGAGGGAGCTTGCTCAGCGTTCTGGGAACCTGAGGTGTGGCACTTGGATGTCTTCATAGGTTAAGGAGAAGCCAGAGGGGGTGTCATCTCGAGATCCTGGCCTTGCTGTGAGCTCTCCCCGGGGACTTCTGGGCTTTGTTGTTCTTCAGGGTGGGACAAATTGCTTCCTTGTATGTGCCGAGTCCCTGCCGTGGTCTCGGCCTGACAGGCCGTGGGGTACAGAGATGAGGCACCCTGGAGCCATCCAGTTGTGAATGGGAGAGAGAGCACTGATCCAGGGGGCCCCTGAGTGCTGTGGGCCCCTGGGAGCGAGTCCCATAGGAACTGAACATGGGGAGCTTGGGCCTTCTCAGGACCTCGGCCAGGCCAGCCTCCTGGGGTTTATACCTGGGAGCCCACAAGGAGGGGGGAGAATGGGCTGGTCCGCCTGAGAGGCCAGCAAAGGAATGACACATCCCCGTGCCTCATGCGCCAGGTTGGCTTAGGTGCTGGGCAGGTGGCTATGGGGTAGAGTCTCTTTTGTGACTCAAATTCTAGTTCTAGTCAACCAAGTAGCCATGAACCTGGGTGCTGGAGGTGGGGCGGTGAGGGGCAAGCAGATGAGCAAGCAGGCCTGTCTCCATTTTAGTTAAGGCAACGGTCAGTTCTAGGAAAGTCACAGATGCGGGTGGCCTCGGAACCCGAAGGCTGAGTGCAGTGGTGAGGTGTGCAAGGTGGACAGGGAGGGCCCTCCGAGCCAGACGAGGGGCAGGAAGGACCTGGTGCCCGAGTGGGCCTCACGCATCTGTGAGGCTGGCCGTGGGAGCCTGCCTGGGTGGGCGCAGCCTGGAGAGTTCAGCTTTGATGTGAAGCTGTGCTGACGTCTCTAAAACCTTCCCCTCCCAGGTGTTGGGGAGCTCTTCATCTCTTCCAGCGTTTAGGTGAGTCGTGGCTTTCTCATGTGACAGCCGTACGGTTTTCTAGAGGAAGGAAAAAGTGTGCTCTCTGGTATGAACACCCCATCCATCGAAGAAGGAGATGAATTCACTAGGGTACATTTTTGTACCATTTTCAGGATTTCAGCAGAATAACAAGATAGGACGCAGGGAGAGTCGTGTGACCAAACTTCTGGTGACCTGATAAATTGACACAGATTTTTGAGTGACTTGAATTACTTGGTTGTGGTGTGTGTGGAGGGGAGTATGAATTTAAAAATACTTTGACTGTCATGATTTACCAGTGATATATGTCAGGCTGTGACAGAACAGAGCAAAAGCAGGACCAGGCTGTACAGACAAAGATAAGATCACGGTGCATGCTCCCCAGATAATCCCCCCCGCCCCCTGGTAAACTCAAGCCGTGCAGCATCCTTCCTGATGCTAGCTGTAGCCCCTTTCTGTCCTTCCTGCGTCTTTGTTAAACATTCAGACACCCAGTCACTGATTTGCACCCAGTCCAGACTGAACCCTGCCTTCCCTGAACCTTCCAAGAAGGCAGCCCCAACGCCCTCCCAAGCCCCCTCACACGCTCTAACCAAGACCCCCCACACTTCCTCCCTGCAGCACCTTGGAAATGCAGCTTCTCGCTCATCTTTAGGGGGCAGCGACGTACTTTCCATTGTGGTTCCTGCTGGGCATCACCTTAGAATGTTTCATGAAGCGAACAGCGTGCAGGATGTAGGAAATTCACCTCAGAGTCAAAGATGTGTGCGCCCTGCTTCTCCCTTTGCTTTGCACTCTTTCCCGCTCTCTGCTGGCTCATCCCCTAACCCAGTCTTAAATGATCAGGCTGTTTCTTGGGGCTCTTAGAATAACTGACGGGAAGAGGACCGGCCAGTCTTGGCTTGGCTGCTTGAATTGTGCCCCTGGAGGGGACTAGGGGCAGCTGTGGTTAGAGATAGTAAAGCTGCATGTAGGCTGGACCTTGAGCCAGGGCCCCGGTTTCCTCCTTGGCACTTACGCTGCTGAGAAACTTGAGGAGTGGAAGTATTTAGATCAGATGGCCCGTGAGTGACAGCCCTACCCTGGGTTGCTAAGGCCTCGTTTGCAGCCTGCGTCTGCAAGTGCTCTGTCGTCCCTCCCTGGTGCCTCTGCTGGAGCCTTCCTGTTCGGGCTGGCGGAGCCCCCTGCCAAGATGGCAGTGATAAAAAAAAAAATGATGGAAAAAACAAGAATGTTGGAGAGGATACAGTGAAATCGGAACACTTGTGCTTTGCTGCTGGGAATGGAAAACAGTTTGGTGGTTCTTCAAAAGTTAAACATCAGATTACCATAGGACCCAGCAACTCCACCCCAAAGTCTGTACCCCCAAAGCTTGAAAGCAGGGACTCAAGCAAGTACTTGTGAATATTGCTGCTAAGAACATGCAAGTACTATATCTAAAAGGAAGAAACAGCCTAAAAGTCCATCAACAGATGGTGGATAAACCAAACGTGCTATCTCCGCTCACTGGAATATTACTCAGCCACGAAAAAGGAACACAGTAACAGGATGAGCCTCGAAAACACTCTGTTGAGTGGAAGAAGCCAGTCACAAAAGGACACACATGTATGATTCCATTTACATGGAAAGTCCAGTGTAGGCAGGTCCCGTAGAGAGGGGAGCAGTTAGTGGCTGCCAGGGGTTGGGGCAGGAGGAATGGGGAGTGACTAGTCATGGTTACAAGGTTTCTTCGGGGCACCATGGAAACGCTTTGGAACCATATAGAGGTGGTGGTGTACAACGTTGGGAATGTACTAAATGCACTGAGTTGTATCCTTTAAAAGGGCGAGTTTTATGTTAAGCGAGTCTCACCTCAACAAAAAGAAAGAAAAGATCCCAACTGTCCTCCATTTCCCCTTGGGGTTTTAACAGCCGGGACCTGAGGGGCCTGTTGCACACACTTGGCGCCCTCTGAGATCGCTGCCCCGCCCTCGCTGTCCTGGTGGGAGCTGGTTGACACGGGCAGTTTATGGAGTGCTTGTCTCTCTAGCACTTTCACCAAAGCGAGTTTCCAAATGAAGTTTAGGATAAGAATTAAGAAGTCACAGCACTTGCCCCTTAAGAGATTTTTTTTTTTCATCTGACTTAGCTTTTCTCTCTGAATCCATGGATCTGTAACGAGGTCTATGGTAATGAACGAAGGTCATGGGCTTTGGAGTACTAGTCTGTGCAAACTCCTGAGCTCGCTGGCTGGATAATTTAATTATCACAATGATCTCTGAGGTAGGGCTGTGATTTATTATTTTTATTTATTTATTATTATTTTTGTTAATCCTCACCCACCCCCATTGATTTTTAGATTTTTAGAAAGAATGGGAAAGAGAGTGGGAGGGAGAGAAGGGAGAAGGAGAGAAAGAGAAACACCCATGTGAGGAGACACGCACCCCGATGGGGCGAGGGGGGGGGGGGCGGAGGGGGGGTGTCGCGGGGACTGAACCTGCCATCCAGGTATGTGCCCTTGACTGGGAATCGAACCTGCAACCCTTGATGGGCAGACCGATGCTTTAACCACTGAGCCACAGGGTTCAGTAGTTTGCCCAAGGCTGCACAGCTAGGGAGAGGCAGAGCCACGCTCACAGGGGAAAACTTGTCACACAGCCTGTTCCCTTTGTCCATGATATTTTCAAGGTGCTGATTGTATTCGAATACATGTGATCATCCAGACAACAGGTTTTTAAAGTTTTAAACTCAGATTTAAAAAAAAAAAAGAATATTTAAATTAAATTACTGGGCTTTTTTCCTACTTTTTAGTTACATTAACTTGAGAACTGTGTTTTCAAATAGAGAAATCTAAACTGGCAATTACAGGCATGTTTTCAGAGATCATAGGAATCAGGATTGGGTTTTTATATTGACTATCAAGTCCCACCACATCGAAACAACACGACCTGGCTCTGATGCGTTTTAGCCGCATTTTACAGCTACGTCAACATTTATTAACTTGATGGTGTAATTATCAACGTTTACTTTCTATGGTTATGACATTTTGATTTTTCTCTCTACCTCGGTCCCTTCTCCTTCTGCAGAGAATCCTGCCAGCAATAAGGCAAGATGGGGAGCAGCGGGAGTCGCCTGGGGCAGAGTGTGAATTCGCAGTTTCTTCCTGAGGAGCAGGCGGAGGTGGACCGGTTGTTTGATGCCCTGTCATCGGAGAAAAGCAGCGCAGCCTCGCCCAGATCCTTTTCTCTGAAGGCACTCAAGGCAAGAGTCACAGCCGTCAATGGGGCTTAGTCCAGAGCGGGAGTCTGCAAACTATGGCCCCCGAGCCAAAATCGGCTCTGTGTTTGTAAGACTGAACTTGAAAAAGTTCCTTTCCTGTCAGGGTCAGGTAGCACACATGCTCAGCGTCGTGGACTCCTGTGGTCTCTGTCGCAGCTACTCTGCTCTGCCTTCGTCTCACCTTTCTAATGAGATTGAACAAAGGGGCCAGCCCCGCTTCCCATCTCCGGACCTGTCGGGTTCATAGGTCCAGTAACTGCGAAGGGTTCCTTTTGCCGTTAGGATTTGTTCAGTGTTTGATGTTCTTTTTGCCCTTAGGCTTTGTTAGGTGTGTGAAGTCCTAGGGACTTTATGGTTCGCCTAAAAAATAACGATGTTTCAAAGTCAAGGTTCATCGGACAAGGAGTTAAAATGCCTGTTTCCCCACCTTTTTGCCTTGTTCCCGGGGGGCTTTCACTGCCTGTCTGAGTGCTCAGACGGAGGGAAGACACCGGCAGAGGACACGGGCTCCTGTGCCTGGGCCGGGGGCGGGAGGGCCCTGTGTGAGGCGCTCTGGCAGCCTCCTCTGGTAGCGCATGCAGAGCGGGCGCCGATGGGCATCGGGGATCCCCCCGCAGATGGGCAAACTGGCCAGGGAGGTGATGTGGGGCACAGCCGTGTGGTGTACTAGTATGTGTGTGCATTTGTGTGTGCACACGTGTGTGCACAAGTATCTCCACTGGACCCAAATCACCCCCATCTGCCTGGTCACCCACCATGCTGGAGCAGACAGAACCAGACTAGACTGGAGGGCAGAGTGGGTGGCAGCATTCCTCAGTGTTTGTTGAGATAAATATGGCTCGAGTTGATCGGAAAGCCTTGGTAACTATATAGTTTCCGTTGGGAAGGAATTGGAGATTGCTTTTCCAGTAGACATCCAGAAACACTGACGGAAGGAGATATACTCCTTTGGAGAGTCAGGGTGGGGACCAGCTTTACAGGAACTGCAGAGCATCGCTGTGTCACAAACGGGGTAGTAGTGTGAGTGGTTCCAGGAGGATCCGTGTGCAGATCCCACCAGGAGGGAAGTTCGTGATTGGCTTTCTCTCACCATTTATTTTAAATCTCTGGACCAAATCTGATCTGATGTCGGTCAAAAGGAAAGCAGTGTTTACGGAATGTTATTGGCAAGACATTAATTAAGAACTAGGTTTAAAATTGAAATAAACATTAATGTAAAATGCGTGTTAAGCACACAGAACTTAGATAAGAAGTGAAAGCCAGCTACTATCTTTGGAAGTCCCTAAGATAGAGGAGACCAGATTAGCTACAAATAGACATATGCACCATATGTTAATAAATTGAGACGTGCAAATGGCAGCTGTCCGTGTAGGAGGAAGGAGATGTTCTAAGCAGAGTGAAGAGCAGACGATGGCCAGACGTAGGCATGACATGGCCAGCCATGGGGAGACTGGGAAGTTTGGAGAGAGGGGAACAGATTGTGGAAGAACCTGAGGGCCACGACGAGCCACAAGCCAGGGCACGCTATGCATGTGGGTCCTTGGTGATGTGAGGCCCTTCGGTGGGGGAGCGATGGTGCGTGTGAGGATCTGGGAAGGCTACATGCTGGTAGAAGCATCATGGCCTGGCAGTGGTTGGTCGTGGTCCCCTCGTTACCATGTTTAACTTGGACCCTGCCTAGCCCTTTCTCCTCCTTGCCCTTCACAGAGCCACATCGGGGAGGCGCTTCCCCCAGAGATGGTCGCCAGGCTGTATGACGGCATGCGGGGGGTGGACCTGGCGAGACCAGCGAAGGGGCCCAGCGAGAGCGTCTCCCAAGAGCAGTTCACACTGTCGATGTCCCACCTGCTGAAAGGGAGCTCCAGGGAGAAGAGTTTCATGATCCTGAAGATGATTTCTGCCACAGATGGTCCCGTGAAAGCACGGGAAGTCCAAAAGGTAGGGAGGCCCCAGGACCATTGCAGCCCTCCAGGTGGCATCGGTGTCCATCAGTGGGAGACTCGGGGGGATCAAGCCACTGGTGGAAGCATCAGAGATGCCCACCTTTGGGGAAGCCTAGGTCACATAACCGGTGGACAAAGGCCTTGGCAAAACCAGACCGGCTGAGGGATCATTAGGAAAATGAGTACCCAGGTTACATGATTTTCCCCCAATGTGACCATTGCAGTTGGCATTAAAGAGATAAAACACCCCCCCTTGCTGATAGGACGTAGGTCACCGGTCCTGGTAGAGATGTCATTCATGGTGAAATTGTAACCTTCAAGTTTACAGAGGATCTCGTCGGCTCTCTGGTGCATGTGCTGAGCCACAGGCAGGAGCTGAGAGGCTGGGCGCAGAAGAGCACTCCCGGCCCCCCGCCCAGGGTGCAGGCTCTAGCTGTGCAGCTGCTCTCCGAGGTGAAGTTTGCAGGCAAGTGCCCTGTGCGTGCCCACACTCCGAGGCCTTGGTGGTGGAGAGTGGTACCATCTGTCTCGATACTGTAGGCTTGCAGTCAAGTTTTGGAATCAGAAAGTGTGAGTCTTCCACCTTGGGAAGACTGTGTAGATCAGTGGTCCTCAACCTTCGGGCCCTTTAAATACAGTTCCTCATGTTGTGACCCAACCATAAAATTATTTTCGTTGCTACTTCATAACTGTAATGTTGCTACTGTTGTGAATCATAATGTGAATATCTGATATGCAGGATGGTCTTAGGCAACCCCTGTGAAAGGGTCGTTTGACCCCCAAAGGGGTCGCGACCCACAGGTTGAGAACCGCTGGTGTGGCTTGTCTGATTGATTGGTTGGCATATCACTGTTCATAGTATTTCCCTATAATCCTTATGCTGCAGGTTGAGGTGAGTAGCTATAAGGACACGTGATCGCCCACTCATACTGTCTCCCCTTCCCTAGACGGCGAGAAGCTGCTGGGGCCTGAGCAGCTGGACTATGACTGTGACCCCGCTGTGATCGAGGACTGGGTGTTCAGGGCCCACCTGGTGGCCACGTTCCTGAGTGTGGTCATCCACAGGGGCTTTGGCCTGCACTGGCCCCTCGATCTGTCCACGCTGGTCCCCGAGTGTCAGGTTGACCAGGGGCAGGAGTTTGAGAGCGTCCTGGACCTCCTGTCGGTCATCTACGTCAACTCCCACCTGCCCAGGGAGCAGCAGCACCGCTGGCACCTGCTCTTCTCGTCCGAGCTCCACGGCCACAGCTTCGCCCAGCTCTGTGGGCGCGTCCCACACCAGGGGCCCTCCCTGCTACTCCTCAAGGACCTCGACGGCCACGTGTTTGGTGGGTTTGCCTCCTGCTCCTGGGAAATCAAGCCTCAGTTTCAAGGTAAGACGTGGCCACCGAAACCCAGCAGTAGCAGGGTGCGCGTCAGGAGTTCTGGTCCGACGGCTGCGGCCTGGGGACCCCTGAGCACCGGCAAAGGCTGTAGGTGTTAAGAGGGTGAGCCGTTCTTCCGGCTGCTCCTCCACGTGTTTGCCCAGCTGTGTCTGGGAGGAGAGGGCACCGTGCTGCTGCTTTATGGTGGGTGAACGACTCATGTGTTTCCTTTGGTTCCGACGGCAGGGTCAGGTAAGCAGGCTGCGTATCCTGACTTGGATTTTAGGTTTTTTTAAATGGTGCCAGGTCCAGGTCGTGGGAGAGGCTGGGCTGTGGATGCCTCATGCGGGACCGGGAGAAGCCGGTTCTTTCCGATGGGACCGTCTTCCTTTCCCGGAACCCCTGTGTGTCTGCTTGCTGCCGCTGCCATGGAGTTTTGGTTTTGTGACTTTGTTGGAGTTTGGAAGCTCTTGTGGGAACTCGAATGCAGCGAGATCTAAATGGCTCTAGTGAACCTCCCCCTTCCTCAAAGAAAAGTGCTCTGATAAACGTTGTTAAAGGCCATTTTGAAAATGCTCATCTGCTGGCCATACTCGGGGGCGAAACTGCCTTCTGAGGGTTTGGTGTCGCTGTGTGTCCCCTGATGTGTGGCCCGTCTGCCCGAGTGTGTGTTCTCAGCAGGGTTCCTCGGGGCCAGTGGCCGTGGAGGGCTTTTCCTCGTGGCTCTGAGCGCAGGCACATTCCCGCTCTCACTCCCATGGGCTAAGTGAATTCTGGGCAGGGTCCCTCCCCGTGAGGGGCGAGGTTAACACCCTCCCTGGCTGTGTTAGTGGAAGGGAGGTTCCAGGGACCTGAGATGCGGGAGACGGAGGAGAGAGGCCTCTTGAACGGAGACTGCACATCCGAACCAGACGGTCACCAGTTTCCCTCCATTCTGCTGCGTCCCTCCCGCCTCTTCGTCTTCCTCTCGCTTTCAGCAGCGTGGGCAGCTGCCTTCTCACGGGCCCTCTGCTTTTAGTCTCGCCCTCCAATCCATTTGCCATATCCCAGCTCTTCTCCTGGAAACTCTAACAGACCCACTGCCCTCGGGGTGGTGCGCCTTTCATCTCCACTCTCCCGGCCCACTCCTGCCCCTTGCGATCCGCGCTCAGTCCCACTGAACCTCCTGGGTTTCCAGAACAGGCCCCGCTCCCTCTCATCTCAGGACGTGGCACATGCTGCTTTCTCCCGCTTCCACCTGTTCGGGACTCAGCCAAGGCCACCTCCTCCAGGAGGCCTTCCCAGCCACACGAGGGCCGTGTGCTCCCTGCGGTTCTCAGTCGTGCCGCAGGCCTCTGGGATTGTTCCTGTCTTCCCCGCTAGGCAGAGCTCCTGTCGGCTGGGGAGCCACATCCAGCTGCAGAGGTTTTAGCAGTGGCGGGCCGCCCGGTGCCTGGGATGGGGTGGAAGGAATCATGAGATGAAGGTTGGGTACCTCTATCCCAGAGATCCTGTTATTTCTAGGACTTTATTTTCTCTCGGTTTTAGAATGTTCTGGATCTTCAGTCTAGGTGCTCTCCCAGCTCTTCCCCACTGTCTGGGGTCCCCAAGACCACCCACACCTCATGATCCACTGGCAGCACTCATGGACTCAGGGTAGAGCTGTGCTCACAGCCATGGTTTATTACCGTGAGAGGACGCAGAACAAGATCAGCACAGGGAACAGGTTGGGGTGAAGTCTGGGGCAACCAGGCACCAGCTCCCAGCGTCCCCTCCCAGTGGAGCCCCCCAGGACATGCTGCCCTTCCCCAGCAACAGGCCCTGCCAGCACGTGTGAAGTGCTGTCCACCAGGGAAGCTCAGTAGGGGCTCAGCGCCCAGGGTTATACTGGGGGCCGGCCATGTGGGCTCCCTCTGCCAGGCATGAAGCAAAATCCCAGGCTCCCGGGAGGAAAGCAGCGGGTCAGCCCCTATCACCCTGTGTGTGCAAACAGTTCAGGCACAGGGAGCCACTCCGATCAGTTCTGGGAGTGGGGGACCCTCCCAACATCCATGTTCCCAGACCTCAGCCCAGGGCCAGCCTTAGAAGCTCTTCTGGGGCCGCAGTCTCAGGCCTGCAGCGGCCCCGTTCTGCATAGCCACCCTTCCCTGTCAGTGTCACAGGCAGTGGGACCCCCCCCCCCCCCCAATCTCCATCTCCAGGCTCTGGGGAATGACGAGGTGCTCTGTCCTGTGGGTGGAGGCTGTGCTTTAGGACATGGAAAAACGTACCCTGAGAACCATTAGAAATGAAAGGTTCGCTTCTTCCAGCTCCTTTCATATTAGCGCCAGGTTAGCGCTTCTGGGTCTAATGCAGCGGTTCTCAACCTGTGGGTCGCGACCCCTTTAGGGGTCGACCGACCCTTTCACAGGGGTCACCTGAGACCATCGGAAAACACATATAATTACATATTGTTTTTGTGATTAATCACTATGCTTTAATTATGTTCAATTTGTAACAATGAAAATAACATCCCGCATATCAGATATTTACATGACGATTCATAACAGTAGCAAAATTACAGTTATGAAGTAGCAACGCAAATAATTTTATGGTTGGGGGTCACCACAACAGGAGGAACTGTATTAAAGGGTCGCAGCACTAGGAAGGTTGAGAACCACTGGTCTAACGTTTTATTAACAAGCAGCGTTAACCTTCCTGAAGAACGGCGGAAATGCAATTACAAAGTTCTCCAACTGAGTTCGTTCTGTTCTGAAATAGGAGGGTGGAATCCCAGCAGAGGGCAGCCTTGCTGCAGAGCCCGTCACATTCAGAGAGAGCCTTCTTGTCCATTTGCAGTTGAAAGGCCCGTGGCTTTGGACTGGGCACAGAGCCTCGAGTCCGGCCCTGGCCCTGGGCAGGGTGCCTCGGTCCCCCAGAAGTGTGGGACGTGGCGCAGTGGGAAAGCAGCTTGTAAGTTGTGTCACGTGGGTGGTTGTCAAGCGTCGTCACTGTGAGAGTTACTGGTCGGTGGGAGCCTCACCGTCGGTGTGGTTTTGGCAGGTGTTACTGACTCCCTGGGTCCTTACCGCCATGTTCCAGGAAGAATCCTCCCCACGTGGCCTCCCTGCCGAGGGCAGCCCCCGATGGACTAGAGTGGGGTGCATTGCAGCCGAGGGGCCTCTGCTTTGTGGCCCCGTCGCTTTGCCTAGCAGCGTCAGGCTGAGTAAATGTTGGTTGAAAGACAGTCCTAGGATTGTGGAACAGAGTGATGCTGTGACCTGCATGGGGGCAGCAGGGTGGGACCAGGTAGCTCATCGCTTGCAAAACTGCCCCAACCTGCTGGGGCCACCCAAGCCCCTGGACTCAAGAGTCGGGTCCTAGAGTCGGGTCCGCTGTCATCTGGCTGCTGTGACTGCTCCAGGCTCGTCTCCCTTGTTGCCCGCCCCAGCGCTCACACACCCTTCAGACAGGAAATGGCCCCTGCTTTTCCCCACACGTCTTGTCCCTGGGCAGGGGGGTGGGGGACTCCTCCAGGGAGTGGCTCTCCCCACAGCCGTCTCCATCTCAGGATGTCCTTCGAGAAGCTCGGCCTCCAGAAACTCCCTGACCATCCTGACCGCACCCTGTGGATCTGTCTGGATTGAGGCCTGAGCATCGCTTGCCCAACTCTGTCCTTCCTGCTTCTTGAGGCCCCTGGGCTCGAAGCCCCCTTCATGTCTGTCCTCCACGTTTGTGCCCCATTAACTTCCCGGGCCCTTCCTTCTGTCTCATGAATTGTCTGACCCCCGAGTACCATGAACTGCCTCGCTGTGGAGGGGTAGGCTTTCAGGCCAATCACACAACTGTGGGGGTATCTCTGGTTTGGCTGCCCCTGAGCTTGGGCTTTCTGGGGGCCAGGGGTGCCTCCACCCCTCCCCTGGAATATGCTGAAGGTGCTTCTGGAATGAATGAATCAAGATAAGGAGGGTCCTGAGTCTTAGGATGTGTTCACACCCACAGTTTTGACTGGTACCTGCTCCGAGGCAGCATGCCCAGGCCCAGGCCCTGTCCATGGACAATGGTAGCCGGTCACCTTTCCCTGCCTGCCCCGTCCTTCCTGCGGGGCAGCGGGGCGTCTGCAGGTGTCCTCCTCTCCCCGTTGAGCCCAGTGTCCAGTGCCGACTGGAGGAGGCTGTGCCCACACCAAGTCAGGACCTGGAGTGACCACCGGGCTCCTTGCTCTGAGGTGAAAGGACACCCGCCCCTTTTGACTTGGTCGCATTCGTCCGATGAGCAGCAGGCAGAGTCCCCATGACTGCTTCCCTGTCTTCTGCGGGGCCTGCATGATGGCTGAGCCCCTGTGCGTGAGCTCAGGGCACATGTGAAGACCCATGTGATGGCCTCGCTGCTTTGCCTCCGAGCGGTGGCTTGTTTGCAAGCCCTGCTTCTCTCTGCCGGCTCAGATCAGTGATGCTGCGTATGTGTGCTCTGGTCACTTGCAGGGGACAACAGATGCTTCCTGTTCTCCATCTCCCCCAGCATGGCCGTGTACACCTGCACGGGCTACAACCACCACTACATGTACCTGAACCACGGGCAGCAGACCATCCCAAACGGACTGGTGAGGACTGGGGAAGGGCTGGGGACGTCCCACCTGAGTGTCCATCCCGGTGGAGTCAGTTCTAATACCCTGGGAGCTGTGTGCATTCACTCACCCGCGTGCCCTGTTCGCTCATTCTGCTCGGTGCCAGGGCTGCAATGAGTGAAGGGAGGACAGAATTTAGCTGGTGGAAGGACGGAGCCTCGGCTGGGGTGTTTTGGTGGCTTGTGTGTGATGGTGGATTTGGCCAATTTTCCTGGTAATCAGGTGGCCCATGGCCTTTGTGGCTGGACATGGTGTCGGTGTCAGACCTGTCACTGGCCTTGCTGCCCTGCCACGTGCCTGGGGGATGAGCCAGGGCTGGCCTCCCTGGAGCCATGAGAAATTGTCAACTGTAACTCACAAAGCAGTGTGTGGGGCTCCAACTGGGGTGACTGCACCTCCTGTCTGCTCTGTGCTCCAGCCTGGAGACTCGGCTATGGGAAGGGGAGAGTGAGGGTGAAGGCCAAGGGCTGGGGTGGGTGAGGGGGCAGGCGCCCATGCACACAGCAGCCCAGCACCTGTGGGCCAGCTAAATGTGGGTGAGAAATGTGCCTCTTACCAGCACTCCCGCCAGTTTTTTTCTCTCTGCTTAATAAAAAGCTCGTTTTGGGAAACTCCAGCCCTGGGTTTGCAAAGCCAGGGTCTAGGAGGGCTGGTCCCCCTGTCAGGATGGAGAGCACCCCCATGCTCTTTCCCAGGCTTGCTGCATGCCTGCCACGGGGCCACCTGAAGGCCCCCGACACCTCCCAGAAAGGGCAGTCTGGTGACCACAAGGGCAAAGGCTTTGGTCTCAGGAGCAGCACCCAGTAGGTCCCCAGGAATCGCCAATCATCAGTCCGAGGGAGAGAAGCCACTGAGAATCGCCTGCACTTTCTTGCTTTGGTCTCTTGCTCAAAAGTAGTTCCAGGCCACCAGGGCCACGAGAAGAGGTGGAGGTGGCACCCAGACACCTGATCAGGGAGGTGGAGCAGCAGTTCTGTCCTCATCTCCAGGAGCTTGGAGCCAGCACTGTGGGCGGGGGGCAGGGGGGGGGGGGCGGTGGCAGAACAGCTCTACGTCACTCCCCGGGCCTGTGTCACCCCGGGCCTGCTTCCTGGTTTCCCTCCTTGTAGGTGACGCACGGAGTGAGGGACTTACACCCTCAGCGCAGTGCCCTGGTCTGTGGGGCACGAGGGTCCCTGCTGCAGGTTTTCCATGAAGTTCTCTGTGCCCTGATGTTGTGTTTCTGTCAGCCAGTGTAGCCCCAAGAGAAAGCCATGCGGGTGGGAGTCCGGACACCTCAGTGATTGTTCCAGTAACTTGTGCTGGGATATGAAAATCGCACCAGTCAGTATATTTCACTTCTCATCCCGCGTCTCAGCCAGATGGCCGAGGCTGATGTGGGCTCGGAGTCGGACATGCAGGCTGGGGAGATGCTGACGGCCTTCCCTTCGCAGGGCATGGGAGGGCAGCATCATTACTTCGGGCTGTGGATCGACGTCGACTTTGGGAAAGGACACAGCAAGGCCAAGCCCACGTGCACCACGTACAACAGCCCTCAGCTGTCCGCCCACGAGGACTTCCGGTTTGAGAAGATGGAGGTGTGGGCGGTTGGAGACGCCTCCCATTCCAAGCTGGTAAGCGTGGGGCATTTCTCCACTTCCTCAGCCTCACCCCTTTTGCTAGATGGAAGCATCTAGAGACAGTTTCTTCCACGTTTGTTTCCCGAATTTGCTGGCCAGAGGGATGCCAGTGGGGGCACAGCAGAATCCTGTCGGGGTCCCTTGGGGCGGGGGATTAGCAGAATGAACCACCGGGAAAGTGAGGCCTGCCCAAGGTGGGAACTGGGGTGTGAGGGGCCCCCATCTGCAAGATGAGGTGGGTGGGGTGCCTTCTAGTTCTGTGGTTCTGCAATGAGTCATGGTTGGGCCCTCTGCCCCTTGTCACCTCCCAGCGATGGCATGCCAGGACAGGGAGACCACAGTGAGGGAGCCAGAGCCCCCACCACATTTCCTGTGGCAACAGTAGGCTGTTGGCCCCTCTGATAAGCTTGAAACATCACCTCCGGCTCTGGGCTGCACATCATTGGTCACTGAACACACCCATTTCCCTCTTTCCCAAGGCCAACAGCCAGAAGAGCATTCTGGATGCGGACCCTGAGGCCCGGGCCCTGCTGGAGATCAGTGGGCGGAGCCGCCACAGCGAAGGGTTCCGGCAAGCCCCTGACCAGGAGTGAGGAGGAGCCTGGACCGAGGGTGGTCCTGGAGCCGAGCGTGACCCCCCTGGACAGAGCGCTCAGCCTGCAGACCTTCTCCCCATCCTGTGGGTGCTTAGCTTTAACCTAGAGCTGCCTGTTCGTATCCTGAATGTGCTGACTCAGGACACAGTCACCCCTCCGATGCCATACATTGATTAGGGGGTGTGTCTCCCAGAAATCCTGTGTGTCAAATTAGCCACTTCAGTCTTGCACTTGGTAAATTTGGTCTCACTGAAGTGCAAAGACACCGAGACACTTGAGACCCCTGTTGGAATCAGCATTTGATGGGCATGTGGGTTCTGTGTGTAGGGGGTTTGGCCCGCTCAGGGGTCACTTGGCCTCTGAACAGGCTGTCACAGTTAAAGTGCCTTGACGTTCCATTTCGACTGGTAAAGGAGGTGTTTGCATGGGAATCGCGATGCTTTTTTATGTATTAATGGGGGGAAATGGCCGAAGATTTCGGGAGATAGCAGCACCCTGGGTCTGCAGTAGGTGTCTGTGAGGGTCCACTTCTGCCTTCTCAGCTGTTTTTAAATGAGTCTGTGCCATGAGCAAGTAGGAAATGAGCGTGACAGAGAAGTTACGTTCTGTTACTTATCCAAGGGGCATTTGGAGGCCCTGCGGCCTGTTTTATAAATTAGTGGTACCTTGGCAGCACTGGCCTGGGTTGCGGGCCTCCTGACACGCACCTGTCAGTCTCACCTCCCTGCCCAGTGCTGCTCCCACAGGGGAGGGCTGGCTCCCTTCAGACAAACCCCATGACCCTGAAATGCTAACGACCGCTTAGCTTAGGTGGGCTGGGCTTCCGAGCAGAGCTGCCATCTCCCAGGCCTGAAAAAACTATAAACACCCTATGCAAATCCCCGCCTTCAGGAAGCTGTGGGTGCCCCTCTCAGACATGTCACTGTGTCCTTGAGTCTTTTGCTCTGAACTTTGGCCTTTTAGAACAGCATTTGCCCTGATTATAAGCCATAGCAAACTGAGCTGTTTGCCTTTTGTAAGTTCTTCACTTTCTATCAGGAGGCTCATCAAACTGTGCACTCAGCAGTGCCCGTGACTGAGCAGAAGGCCCTGCGAATTAGCCTCCCAGAGAAAAGCACCCGCTTGGACGGTGTGCGGAGGGGCAGCGGCGTGACACGCACGGATGCAGTCACGCTTGATGTTCCTTATAAAAAGCCAGGTTATAATGGCTTCTCCGGTACCTTGTGTGACTTCCTCACAGATGGATTAGCAGTTGCAGGACCCTGGGACCCTCAGACATCCTCACCATAAATCTGAAGAATTCGGTCTCAAATCTTCAGCTTGTTGTGGAATGTTTTTTTCTCTTTATTTTTTATAAAATGCAATTAAATACCTCATTAATAAAAGTCCATTGGTGTCCGTACCTGGAGTACCATTTCCTGCTGCCTCTGTTTGTGGCTGTCGGGGAGGCGGAGGTTTTGTCAGCCTGCGTGCTTCCCGCCTTGCGCTTGCACTGATGAGAGGGCATGCAGGTTAAAGGGGGTTGCGTTTCCCAAGCTGCACACTTCCAGGGGGAGGGAGGGTGCCCAGACCGGGTGTGTGGTTACCTGGGGGACGCTGCCCTCACGGTGGGCCTGCGGGTGTGAGCACACCCTGATACAGTATCAGTTGTGGCCGGGCCACTGGCCGGATGCACCATGCTCTACCTGGGACCAGGAAGCCGGTGATACTAGTCTTAACAAATGTTCTTTTATGATCAGGAATAACAATTCAGGTTGTAAGGACCAGTGGTCTCTGTAAGTGCAGACTGACCAGCACCCAAAAAGGTGCTAGAAGGAAGAGGTGAAAAAATGCAGTTCCTGATACCAACATGCCTACTATTTTTCCCATCATATTTCATGGTAAAAAAAAAAAAAGGCCAAAATAGAAAGGGAAGTCTCCCTCCTGCTCCCTTCCCAGCATTTCCTTCCCAAGAGGCAAAAGCAAGGCAACTCCTTGCACACTCAGCTTGACTGTTTTCCACACTGGTGTGCCCCTCACTTTTTATTGGGTGGAGATGGCTCCATATTCACCCATCTGTCTTTTTTGTTTTCATTGACTGTGTAATGTCCCATTGTACGGACGCGGTGTCATTTCTAGGGTTCAGCCATCCCAGCTGCGGACGTTTGGTTTGTAGCTCACTGTGGCTGCAGCGACTACCCTATGTGTCTTGGTGTGATTTCTGTCTGGAGGATAAACTCTTAGAAGCTGAATTGTTGGATCAAAAGGTACATGAATTTTTATTTAGATATTAACCAATTAACCTTTCGAGCTCAATTTATATCTTTAACATTTCAGAGTGCTTGTTTGCTGTATTTTCGTCAACATGATATTAAGATTTAGTTTTTGTTTACTTGATACACAAAAACTAACTTTATTTTCTGTTTCTTTCATGTGTGACAGTGAGCAGCTCAATTTTTAAAAGCCACCTGTATGATGTCCTTTATCTGGCTTTCCAGGGTGTGGGTCTTCTCTAATTGATTGGCAAGAGTGCTCTTTTGAATGAGGCAAATTAGCATTTGATGTGTATGGCAAATATTTTTTCCAGTTTGTTCAACTTTATTTTTCTTTACATAATTTTTGCATTTTGTGCCATCATATTTGCCAGCACTTCCTATTAAGGCTTCTGAGATTTGAAGTTTTTCTCCACTTTTAGGTTTTAAAAAAAAACCCTATTTTCTACTTCTTTTGTGCTTTCTATTTTCATGTCTACATCTTTGAACCATTCAAAATGTATTTTAAAATAAACTTCTATCTTACCCCAAAGTAAATTCCAGTGCCTTTTATATTAAATGGTGTGCCTCTTTCCTAGTGACTTAAAATGCTACTTTCTCCTTAACTGAATTTATGAATGAACTTAGATTTTTGTCTCATATTTTAATTACTGGAATTTTATGATAAAAAGATGTAAGAGCTATTCCGCTATGACTACTGTCGGGGGTTTTTTTGGAGTTTTCCTCCATATGCTTGCCTACTTATTTTCCACCACCCTTGGGAGCACTTTATTTCTAAAAAATCTGATAGCACATTTTCGAGATAGCATTAAATATAGATTGCTGTAGGCGGAACTGACACTTGGCTAAAAATGTATGATTCTTGCTCTCCAAGAACAGGAATATCTAAGTTTGCTATATAAAGTTTTGTTGTCCTTGCTGGCACTGTAAGGGGATTTATTTTTTCTAAGATGATTATTTGAACATAGAAAAGTTCTTAATTTCCCCACATAGTTTGTACCCAGTTACTGTGCTTTTATCCAGTGGTTCTCAGTCCTGAGCCTGCAGCAGAATCATTGAGAGCTTCTTCAAATTCAGATGGTGGAGCTCCACCCCTAGCGTTTGGCTCAGTAGGTCTGGGAAGGAGGGAACCAAAGAATTTATATTTCTAATAAGATTCCCAGGTGATGCTGATGCTTCTGTTTCTGGGACCTCCCATTGAGTAGCACTGCTGTTCATTGTTGTTTTTTTATCCTTACCCGAGGATATGTTCATTGATTTTTAGAGAGAGTGGAAGAGAGAGGGAAAGACACAGAGAAACATCGATGTGAGAGAAACACATCAATTGGTTGCCTCCTGGGTGTGCCCCAACCAGGGGCCCGGGCCAGGGAGGAGCCTGCAACTGAGGTAAGTGCTCTTGACCAGAATCGAACCTGGGACCCTTCAGTCCGCAGGTCAACACTCTGTCCACCGAGCCAAATGGGCTAGGACAGTGGTCGGCAAACTCATTAGTCAACAGAGCCAAATATCAACAGTACAACGATTGGAATTTCTTTTGAGAGCCAAATTTTTTAAATTTAAACTATATAGGTAGGTATATTGTTATTAACTTAATTAGGGTACTCCTAAGGCTTAGGAAGAGTCACACTCAAGGGGCCAAAAAGCTGCATGTGGCTCGAGAGCCGCAGTTTGCCAACCACGGGGCTAGGGCATAAGACTTCTATTTTTGTCCCCCCAGCTTTACTGAGATATAATTTACACAGAACATTGTGAAGGTTTAAGGTATACAATGTGTGATTGCAGGCATTTTGATTGCATACCTGGAAATAAGGATAATTTCCCCACTCTTCTGTAATCTAGACCTTTTATTCCTTTCTCTTGATTAAGTGTATCAGGAAATGTTTTGAGAACTTTAAATGTAATGATACATCCTTCTCATTTCTGATTTTAATGGAAATATATCTAGTCTTCTATCATTAAGCATGATGCTGGCTTTTTTGAGATATTTTATATAAAGGAAGTAATTATTTGTATTTATATTAAAGAGTTTATATCAAGAGATACTGATTTTTTTCAGTTTTTTTTTTTTTTAGCATCCATGGTTTTCTTTCTTTTTTTAAAAAAAATATATTTTATTGAATTTTTACAGAGAGGAAGGGAGAGGGATAGAGAGTTAGAAACATAGATGAGAGAGAAACATCGATCAGCTGCCTCCTGCACAATCCCCTACTGGGGATGTGCCCGAAACTAAGGCACATGCCCTTGACCGGAATCGAACCTGGGACCCTTGAGTCCACAGGCCGACGCCCTATCCACTGAGCCAAACCGGCTAGGGCCATGGTTTTCTTTTTCAGAGTTATTAATAAAGGATAGGGTTTGAAATCTTGAGCTATCTTTGTATTTTAACTCACTTTTCCAATGTGTTAATTCAGCTGGCCCGTGTTTGGTACTTTTGTAGCAATGTGTATAAATGAGTTGGTCTGTAATTTTTTGTTTTGTTTTGGTCAGATTTTATGTAAACCATGCTTTAGTTTTAAAGTTGTGCTGGCTTTACAAAAATAATTTAGAACCTTTCCCTTTTCCAGGTTCTAGAAAAATGCAAGTGAAAGGAGCTTCTTAAAGTTTGGGTAAAATTCACCTGGTCCATTTTGATTTGGGGGGTGAGGGAGGACAGGGTTAACTCTTGATGAGCTTATCCATTTCTTTTATCAACTGGGTTGTTTTTAATCTCTACCCGGATCAATTTTGATAATTTTTATATTTCCATTTTATTTAAATCTTCAAATTAATTTATATAGAATTGACTAAAATATTTGAACTCTTTTTCTGGGTTTTGTCTCTTGTTTTCCTTTCGTTTTTCTTAGCTCGTTCTACCAATTTAAAAACTTAATTTTGCTTTCATATTATTTCTTCCTTCTTAATGTTTATTTTTGTCAGTGTTTTAGAGGTGACTGTTAAATTATTAAATAAGAAGCATGAAAGTAAATGAATATATAGAGCTATTACTCCTTCTTTGAGTTCTGCTTTGTTTAGCAGTATTGCATAAACACAATTTCTATAGAATTTTAGTACATGTCTAGATTTGTCTAACTACCACTACAATCACTCCCCTCCCCCAAACTCCTTCAAGTTTCCCCTATTCTCCTAATCTTTTTTCTTTTTGGGGGGTTAATCCTCACCCAAGAATATGAAATATTCTATAATTATAGAATATAGGGATTATAGAAACATAATTTTTTAAAATATTGATTTCAGAGAGGGGAAGGGAGAAGAGAGAGATAAACATCAGTGATGAGAATCACCGATTGGCTGCCTCCTGCACGTCTCCCCCAGGGCATGTGCCCTTGACTGAAATTGAACCTGGGACCCTTCAGTCCGCTATCCATTGAGCCAAACCAGCTAGGGCTATAATTTTTTTTTTTTTTCTTAAGAGATACTGGAAGGGAAGGAAGGAGGGGGAGCGGCAGAGAAACATTGATGTGTGAGAGACACATGGATTGGTTGCCTCAACCAGTGATGGGGAATGAACCTGCAACCCAGGTTCATGCCCTTGACCGGGAATCGAACCTGAGACACTCTGGTGCACCAACCACCGCTCTAACTGCTGAGCCACACTGGCCAGTGCGTGCTCCTCCTAATCTTAATCACTGGCAACCTCTAATCCATTCTCCATCACGATAAATGTCACCTTGAGAATGTTATGTACATGGAACCACAGTATGTAACCTTTTAAGACTGCTGTCACTCAGCATAATATCTGTGAGATCCATCTAAATTGTGATGTTTATGTTCCTTCTCTTTGTTGGGTAATACTTCATTGTATGGATAGGTCACATTTTTTTATTCATTCACCCATTTAAGGACATTAGGGTTGTTTCTAAGAGTTGGCTCTTACAGATAAAGCTGCCGTTAACAGTCATGTACAGATTTTTGTATGAACAGAACTCTTTTCTAGGAGTAAGATTGCTGAGTCATTGTAGAAAGTTTACATTTAACTTTACAGGACTTTGCCAAACTGTTCTCTAGAGTGGCTGTAGCATTTACATCCTCACCAGCAATATTTAAGATTCTAGCTGTTCTGTATCCTTGTCACCACTTAGTATTGTGTTTTTTAGTTTAGCCATTGTAATAGGTGTGTAGTGTATCTCATTGTGTGTCAAGGTTGCATTTTCCTACTGGCTCATGATGTTGAACATCTTTTCATGTACTTACCATCTGTATGTCCTCTTTGGTGAAGACTCAGTTAAGACTTTTGTAAATTTTCCAAAAATTTTTAAGTGTTAAAATTTTGCGTTTTTAAAAATACTCTGGATCTCGTCTGTTGTTAGATATGTGATTTGAACATATTTTTCTTCTAGTCTGTGTTATTTGCTTAATAGTAACTTTCATGAGTAAAACTTTTTCATTTTGGTGAAATTCAATTTATCATTTTTTTTCATGAATGGTACTTTTGGTGTCATGTCTAAGAACTCTTTGCTTAACCCTAGATCCCAAAGATTTTCTCTTTTGTTTTTTACTGTTTTGGTCTATAGCTCATTTTGATTTAATTTTTGTAGAAGGTATGAGTTTTAAGCCAAGGAATGCCCAGTTTCAATACTATTTGTTGACATTATCTTTTCTCCATTGTATTCCTTTTGGATTTTGTTAGAAATCAATTGGTTTTA